CATCTTTTGCAATTAGTAGTTTCTTCAAGTTAACTCCTGATTCTTTTTATTCATTTTTAAATAAAACAGAAGGCATATATCTCTTCTCAAAACATACTACACCAGGTAGTAGATCAAGCATGGAGTGGTGCCTTATTGGCGTCAAGGACATAGGCTGTCCTGTCTTGTTGCTCTGCTGTATTCTCCTTTACATGGTTGAAGATGGCTCAGTACTACTTTACATTCCTTAAGGAAAAGAGATAGAAGGAAATGTACATGCCCTTCCATTTGCAGCACTTTAAAGATATAATTACGCTGTCTTCCAGTTTCCATTGTTTCTGTTGAGAAGTCAGCTATAAGTCTTATTGTTCCTTTGGAGGTGATGTCTTTTTTCTTTCTAGCCACATTAGAATGTTTTCCTCATTTTTTTTTTACGCTGGTGTATATGATTTTCTTCTTATTCATTAGCATGGGGTTCTCAGAGCCCATGGAATCTGTGGGCCATTGAATCTTGTTTGTATAAGCTTGGGGAAATTCTTAGTGTGTGGACAGAGCTGACTCCATCTTGAAGTGAATCCACCTGCTTAGTTTCTGAGTGAATGATTCCAGACCTTTGACCTCTCTTCCCCTTCTCCTGGGTGGACTCTGGAATGTGTCCAGAGGTTTCCATCTAGTCACAGAGCTTTCATTACTTCTTCCTCTGCAGCAAGAATCTCCAGAAGTTACCTCTCTTAGTTTACTCCAGCACCAGGGTCTGCTGGTATCTGTCTTCTTTGTCCCCCCTGGCCACCCATGCAGTCCTTTTGGAGCATGTAGGTCTGTCTCTGAGTGGGGATGAAAGATGGTGGTCTTGGAGGGGAAAGATGGAGATTTGACTGTTTTGCAGCCAGTCAAGACAAGTGTTTCCTGTAAATTCTCTATTAAACCTATTAACCCATAAACTGGACTTTTCAGTCTCGTTCTTCGGTCTCTGCCCTTTAGGGCCGCTTTGCCTATACAGTCTTTTTATGGAACAGTTAGCCGTTATCTTTTTAAAAATAAACTTCTTATTTAGGATTGTTTTAGATTTGTAGAAAAGTTGGAGAAATAGTACAGATACTCCACATCTAGTTTCCTCTATCATTAACATCCTACATTAGTATAGTAGGATGTTAATGATACATTTGTCACAACTAATGAACCAATATTGATGTATTATTATTAACTAGAGTTCATACTTAATTCTTTAGTTTTTACCTTCTGTCCTTTTTCTGTTCTAGAATCTTATCTGGGATATCACATTTCATGTCTCTTTAGGCTCCTCTTGGCTATGACAGTTACTCAGACTCTCCTTGGTTTTGATGACCTTGGCAGTTTTGAGAAGTCCTGGTTAGGTATAATGTAGAAATTCCCTCAATTGGGATTTGTCCGCTTGTGATTATCTAGGCTAATAGGTTCTTGGGAGGAAGATCACAGAGGTAAAGTGCCTTTTTCTTCGTAACATATCATATCAGGGTACGTATTATCAACATGACGTAATACCATTAATGTTGACCTTGCTCCGTGCCTCAGGTAATGTTTGTCAGGTTTTCCCCTGTAAAATTACTCCTTCTTCCCCTTTCATACTGTACAGAATCACCATGTGAGGCCCGCACTTATGGAGCAGGGAGTTATGCTCTACCTCCTTCAGGGCAGAGTAGTAGCTACATAAATTGGAAAATTTCAGCACAGATTTGTCTCTTTTTCTTTTATTTCTTTATTCAGTCATTTACTTATTTCAGTATGTACTCATGGATTTTTAGACTGTGGATTATAATTCAGCATTACTTAATTTTGTTACTGAAAGTG